TTATTCATAAGTGACCTCATTTAATTAAGACAGCAAATGGGCCGGGGGAGAAAGGAAATGGGTGCTGGAGAGTAGGAACAGAATATTAATTGGTAGTTATAACCAGCCAGGGACAGGACCCACATCTAGAACTGAAACTGTGATTAAGAATGCCACACCTCTTGGCCACTTCTGTTCATTTGATTTCTGTGGGGGCCTCAGTTATTTTTCCTTTCAGTACGTGCTGCAAACTTCCCTTTGATCACACAAAGCAGTACAAGAGCTTTAATGGAACCAGCTACCAGGGCTGGCAGAAAAGGATTAAGAACTGACCTCTGACACGAAAACTGTATATTCTTATAAACAACACACATAGCTATTGTGTTTGCAATGGTCTTCGGGAGCTTCTCTTTCCAGAGACTGCCTTCTAGGAGTTTCTGGGAAAATGTGGTGGTTTTTTTTTTTTTTTTGAGACAGAGTCTTACTCTGTTGCCCAGGCTAGAGTGCAGTGGCATCATCATAGTTCACTACAACCTCAAACTCCTGAGGCCAAGCAATCCTCCTGCTTCAGCCTTTCCAGTAGCTGGGACCACGGGAACACACTACCACACCCAACTAATTTTTCTATTTTGGGTAGAGACGAGGTCTCACCATGTTGCTCAGGGTGGTCTTGAACCCACCTCAAACGATCCTCCCACCTGCCTCCCAGAGTGACTGCCGTGCCTGGCTGCAAATTTGGTTTTGAGTCAGTAATATCCTGGTTCCTCTGGCAAAGCTGTTAAGGCAGCAGGGAAGGGGTAGATAGAATCCAAGATGAATGCAGCCGTCCTAGTTGGACACATATTTTATGGGTTAACTTTGAGTCTTTTGTTTTTTTCCCCAACTAGCAGAGGCCTAGGCTTTGAAGCCTATTTTCTGCTTTGCTCTGCTCTGCTCCCTTGTGTCTCATGGAAGCTTGAGGTGATTTTGACTCCCCATTGTCATTTGCGCCTACGTCAAGAAGTCCTAGGGCTTATGTGCATCATTCTTACATCTCCTTCACTAGGCTCCCCTCCACAGCGTGGCTTTTAACAAAGCTGGCTGGACACACAGGGATTGCCCTGCTGACCTCAAACCCCAGTGCACCAAGAGCACTTGGTGTCCCCGCTCCAGCTTCTCCCCAGATTAACCTGAGAAGTGCCCAATGGGAAGTCCTGACAGAAACCTGAAGGAAGAGGGGCCATTGCTCCCTCCTCCCCTCACTTGGCAGAAGTGGCTATTGAAATTGCTGAGCCTGTTGTCAGAGGGCAGAATTTAAAATGGGGAAAGAGAAGCACAAACTGGGCTGGGCTACTCACAGACTGAGAAACCAACACACTTGTCAGGAGGTTTACACAAGGGAAGAAAAGGAAGACAGAACTAGACCTGGGTTGAGGTCCACCACTCAGTGAATGAGCTGGCAGGTTACTGCGTCTCAGCAAGTGTCAGTTTCTCACACATAAAATTGGAATAACAGTCCCTACCTCATGGGGTGTGAAGAGGATTCAGTGAGATTATAATGTTATAAAATGAAAGTTTTGGCCGGGTGCTGTGGGTCATACCTGTAATTCCAGCACTTTGGGAGGCCAAGGTGGGAGGATCACTTGAAGCCAGGAGTTTGAGAACGGCCTGGGCAATGTAGCAAGACCCCATCTCTAAAAAACAAAAAAAAATTTATATATATATGAGAAAGTGTTTTGGGAATGGTCAGTATTGTCTTGAATTCTTTTCTTGGTCTTCGTTTCTGGTTCTCCTGTCTAGGCCCTGAGCAGCTAGTGAATTCCTCTGGCCTTCTCACCCCTCCCAGCTTGCCTTCTAGTGTCAGTGCCAGAAGCTGCTTCATAGTGAGCCCCAGGTTTTGAACTATGATTTTCAATGCCTGAGGGCCCTGGGGTCCTCAGAGGAGTCCCTGAACCCCTCTTCTTAATCTTCCTTAGCCTGGTCCTGTGATCAAGCTGACTTTTCCATGTTGCCTGGACCCACATCTGCAGTTAGCAGTATGTGTCATTGAGGCCACCTTGCTCCCCCATCCAACAGGTTCTGTTCTTCTCTGTGTTTTGAAGTTAAGAAACCAACTCAGAGGAGTGGAAAAAACTCTGATTTGAGGGTGATACAGAATTAGGTTGTAATCCTAACTAACTGCCATTTGCTAGCCTTACCTAACCTTTCTGGGCCTGTTCTTATCTCACCTACCACATAGAATCATTAGGAATGTTAAATTAGCAAACATGTTTAAAATATCTAGAACAATGCCTGCCACATAAGCATTCAATAACTATTAGTCCCCTTCTTATTATGTGAAAATTTCCTTAACTCAATGGGACCAAATAGAAATTCATATACAGTAGTCCCCCCCATCTATGGGGGATGTGTTCCAAGACCCCCAGTGGATGCCTGAAACTGTGGATAGTACCAAACCTTATATATAGTTTTTTCCTATGCATATATAGCTATGATGTGTTAAAGTTTAATTTATAAATTAGTCACAGTAAGAGATTAAAATAGAACAATTACAACAATATACTGTAATAAAAGTAAGTGAATGTGCCGCGTGCGTTCGTTCTCTCTCTCTCTCTTTCAATACCATTTTTGGACCAACCTTGACCTCAGGTAACTGAAAATGTGGAAGGGGGACACAGATAAGGGAGACTACTGTATACTACAGCCATTTCACCTGTCCCTCATCCCTCATTACTTGTACACCATCCTTGTACATGAAGATGATATACTTTCCATCCCTCAAGAAGTTCGGTGCTTGTGAGTTTTTCTAGAAGTTGGATTTGTGCCTTACACCTTGGCATAGCCAGCATAGGTTGTGGAGGCAGCAAGCCAGCCAGAGTTTTAGATAGATAATCTGTGGTGTGGTACAGAAACTAGCTGGCCTGTTGAACCAGTGATACAGCATTTGGTGACAACAGCACCTTAAGTATATTGGTGATACATGTACCACTTGCTTCGGAGCTCCCATTTGATTCTTACAAGAGTTCTGGGAGGTGCACAGATTCTCTCACTCTACCAAAGAAAATAAGACCCAGAAAGCAGTCACATCTGTGCCACCACAGTAGTAATTGGTAGAACCCAGTATTAGAACACAAATGCCTTGACTCTCTATCCAGGACTTTTGTGATGAGAGCCAGAATTCTGGCTGTTCAGATGAAAGTTCAGAACTCTGCCACAGAATCCTCTAGCTCTCCTGTCCCTAGTCACTTTGTATCTGTTTCTTACAGAATATTCATTACTTCATTGCATGAATAATTATTGAGGGTATACTGTGTGCCTGGTACTCTAGGCACTGGGGATACTGTGGGAAACAAAAAGACACCCCCCACTCCATGCTCTGATGGGACATATTGTAAAGGTAGGAGACTGACAGTAAACAAATAAGAAAAATATGTTGTATTCCTATAAAGAATGTCAAGACGGTGGAGAGTGCTGTGGAGAAAAGTAAGGCAGGAAAAGAAGATGGAGTGGGGTGGGCTGGACACTGAGTTTTCTCCTCGTTCTTTGTGCTTATTGTCTCTTTTAGGTTGTTCATTCCCTGCTGGTTTATCACTCCCAGTACAGGTTCCTGTAGAGCAGGGCTTTTGGAGACTGATTTTGGAGTTGAACCAGCTTTGCGCAGTAGAAGCAGGTGCAGGAGGCATCTATTTACCCACCGAAATGCCCAAGACCTTCCTTTCCTGTATGAGAACTGGGACAGCCTGGATAGTGCCCGGGAATGCTCTGGTGGGTTGGGGAGGGAACCTGTACTGGTTTTTCTTAGACAGTATTTGTTAAATCTAGAGCTCCCCCTGCTGTTAGCAGATGGGATTTGCGCTCAGTGGCGATTTTAAGACAATTTTTTTATCCTAAGATTTAAAATTAAAAAAAAAAAAAAAGGTACTGCTGGGACATTTGAAGCTTTCTTCTGGGACTGCTGTTGCTGAGGCCCAGCCCTCACTGGGGGGTTGGGGGGAGGAAGCACAAAGAACCAGGCAGGATAGGGTCATATCTGTGCTCTTGCTACTTTTAGCCGCTCCCTACCCCTGCACTCCCACCACAGCCAGCAGCCTAGCAAAAGTTATCTCCCTGCACAGTTTCACAGCTGTTCTGAAGTTCTAGGGCAGCAGAAGTGAAACTGACCACAGTCTTGTAAATTTCTCTTTTATTGCCATTGTTCCCTACTTGAAGTGAGTCAGGCCTTTGCAAACTCTCATCCTCACAATGTCTGAAATTGTTACTTGTCCTTACAGCCAAGTTTTTGACAAAGGAGACAGACCTTCCATTCATGGTGCATTGTTTCTGGAGGGTCTTGGTTTGGTCTTGCCACCTGAACATTGTTTGCAGGAGTTGAGACCTGCGGTCTGTGTGATAGTATCCCCAGAATAGAGCTGAGCCTTTCTCGTCAGCTGTCGGTGGTGTGTGTTCCTTTACCAGCGTCAGCCATATGATTGCTGTGAAGTTCTTTTAGTCTTTAGAGATGAAATTGAAGTTAACTTTAGCAGCACTTATTAAAATTGAAGAAGGAAATGGCACCTTTTGGTTTAACTGTCCCATGGAAACAGTTTTGCCACTTTATAATTCCTAATGAAGCTGAAGAAGTAAGGCCGACCTGGCATGCAGCTCTGCCCCTCCCTGTGTCCAGGTCTCCTGAGAGTAGTAACATGAGGCCCAGCAGGCATTCTTGGAGGCTTGGCTGATAAGGGGCCATTTGTCAGGGACAGTTCAGTAACGGTCCAGGGTATTTTTTTTAAGTTATATCCCATGGACGTGCTTTATAGAGCTCAAGCTTAGGCAGTGACTATTCCCATTGGGAATCATAAAGTAACCAAAACTGTTTTGATGGGGTAGCTGAACTATAAAGATATATGCTTACTCAGACGTCGTTGCCTTCTTCACTTCAGCTGATATTAATAGTACTACTAAAATTAACTTGAATTTAAGATGCCTTCTCCACTGAAAATTGTAGCACTAGACATGATCTTCACTATAAGGTAATTCTTTTATGGTTCTTCTCTCAACAGCTTTGAAAAGTCCAGCTGCATTTCATGAGCAGAGAAGGAGTTTGGAGCGGGCCAGGGTAAGACACCTTTCTTCTCCCAGGACTCCGAAAGAGCATTTTCAGAGCTCACTGAATTGCTGGTTATATTTCCTTCCAGTCTAGCAGGACTCTAGGGTCAGCCCTGGCCTCACAGTTCTAAATGGAAACTTCATACCTAACCTCAGCCATCTCCCATGGTGATTATATGGAACATGATTGAAACGAAGTTGCTCCTTTAGTACATTTAAGGATATGGAGTGATTACCTGATCCTCCTTCCCTGAACCTTGCTTTGGAGATCCCGGGTATTTTCACATCTTCAATTCCACTTCACCTCTTGTAGATGTTAGGACATGAACATCAGCCATGGGAAAGCTTCCTGAGTCCAGGGCTGCACGCCCACACCTCTGTAAGACCAGGAAACCTCCCTGGTCTCTGTCTGTCCAGAGCAGCCAGTGTCCACTTGGCCCTTGTGGAAAGCAGAAGCTGGCCTGCATGCCAAGCCCAGGTTTCCTGCTGCAGCACCTTACTTGTGTCCCCATCCCACTCTCGGTTTCAGTTCCCCCGGGGCCCCTGGGGAATATTCTGCTGCTTACTGTGGGCAGAGATGAGGAAGTTGCCAAAAGTTGCTTCCCCCTCCCACCCCCTTTACTTTTTTCCTTTACATTAAGTCAAGGAAAAAGAACCCCTACAAAGGGAGGACCATGGGCCATGGCTTCTGGAAGACCCACAATTCTTTTAGAGACTTGGAAATATTTACTTCCTAGACTTTTGTTACTTTCTTCTAGTTTTTTCCCTCCAGAAAATCACGATTACTTCTTAGAGTGAGTGGGAAGAATGAGGTCATGGGCACTGGGAACCAAAGCAGTAAGGAGTAGCAGCAGGGGGAGAGGAGTGGCACTGCCCACGCCCCTACCCGGTCAGGAGACTCGGCACCGTTTCCTTGACTGCTTCTCGCATAGGAAAGCAGCAAATGAGAACAAATTAGAACAGTTACTGTTTTATCGAGTGCTTTTATGTGTGAGATCATATCTGTTTTTTATTTATCCTCACATTAACTCTTATGAATTAGGTGTTATCATCCTCATTTTGTAGATGCAGCTGAGAGGTTAACTAACTTGTTCAGCAAAGTGGCAAAGCTGAGACTCAAACCCTGGTCTGTGGCTTTTTTTTTTTTTTTTTTTTTTTTGAGACAGAGTCTCACTGTGTTGCCCGGGCTAGAGTGCCGTGGCGTCAGCCTAGCTCACAGCAACCTCAAACTCCTGGGCTCAAGCGATCCTCCTGCCTCAGCCTCCCGAGTAGCTGGGACTACAGGCATGCGACACCATGCCCGGCTAATTTTTTCTATATATTTTTAGTTGTCCAATTAATTTCTTTCTAATTTTAGTAGAGACAGGGTCTCGCTCTGGCTCAGGCTGGTTTCGAACTCCTGAGCTCAAACAATCTGCCCGCCTCGGCCTCCCAGAGAGCTAGGATTACAGGCATGAGCCACCGCGCCCGGCCTTAAGCAAAATAATTTTTATTTCCTAACACATGGTAACCATATACATCCAATATGTACTTATTTTGCACATCTGTTCACAAATGACTTCTAAATCCCAATAACTGCTTTCATATTTAAGCATGTACTAAGAATTATCTTAGTTGATATATGAAAAATGAATATATTGCATAGGTTATAGCAGAATTTGCTTTAGTTAATTCTGAAAATTTAAAGCTTTGAAAAACTGCTACATTTGCATCTCATACTTCCAGATGAATAAGATACAGTAATATCAGCTTGTATTCCTGAGATATCTCTTTTGTTCTTCCAGTGATGGAACCAGTCACCTACATCTGCTGGTGCTGTGTAGACAGCTTCACATGGTGGTAGAAGAGCAGCCACGGTGGATTTGGCAGTGTCAGGGTCACACTTAGAAGGGCTCTCAGACACTCTTGTATTCCCACAGCTGATTCCTTGCTCTCCCATGGTCATGAATGTTTTTAATGATATCAGTTGCAAAGTCCTTGTCTTTAAATTCTGCACTGAAAGCAAACTAGTTCTCTGGTTTTCTGTCAGGAACTTTGTACCTTCTAAACCAGCCCATAGTAGCTTCTAGGTAGCCAGGTTTCAGCCATTTGACATCTTTAACATGTTTACTATTTGTTATAAAGGATACAACTCAGGAACAGCCAGTTAGAAGAGATTCATGGGTATGTGGGAAGGGGCGAAGGGCTTCCATGCCCTCTCTGGGTGGTGTGCCACCCTCTTAGCACCTCCATGCATTCACCAATGCAGAACCTGCTCCGGATATTTTCTTAATCTTTGCTGTATTCTGCCTCAGCCTTGGCCATTGTTCAGAGCTTCAGATGGTTTAGAAAACATGCCTCCCTTTGATGTCTATGAAGACCTGCAGTACGAGACAACCTGCTCTACCATTCTCTGCAGCACCTGAGGCAAGACCTCTGCCTACTGCAGATGGGGTGATAGACCCAGAGCCCACAGGCGCTTTAAACCATCTCTTAGAGAGGTCAGCGCACTCCCCTCCCCACTCCTGGGCTGGCACAGAGCTGCCCAGCCAGAGCACCGAGGCAGCAGATGGCCAGGGCAAGGACCACCATTGACCTTTGCTAGATATATTAATAATATGCTCTGATACTTCGTTTCTTACTATGCTTTATCTTACCCTGTACTGTCCTATTCTGTGCTGGTCTTGACTCACCAATGTTCTGTGGTTTGAAAACTGCTGGTACAAAGAGCATAGGCTCTGGAGTCAGATCTGGGGTCACATACATATTATAATTAGCCCCAGGCAGTGGGGTGAGTCTGTGACTTTTGAGGGAATGGGTTAGTTTGCCCAGAGTCTAATAAATGCAGAAATGAGGACATTGGACTTTGAGGAACTAGAGCTATGACCCCATGTATCAAAATTAGTATTCCAGTCGGCAGCCACTCTAAATGAATGGAAAATGTTCATGAGATCACACAGTGCTGAATTTTTTGAAACAGGATATAAAATTATATTCAGTATGATTACATCTCTGCAAAGTTAAACTTATCCTCTGCATGGGAGAATGACTAGAAACAAATACCCCAAATTACAGTGGATAATTAGAATTTTTTATTGTTTTCTAATTTTCTAAATTTTCTTCAATAAACGTATATTACTTTTTTTTTTTTTTTTTTAAGAGATGTGGTCTCACTGTGTTGCCCAGGCTGGAGTGCAGTGGTATGATCACAGCTCACTGTAACCTCAAACTTCTGGGCTCAGGTGATATTTATCCTCCCGCCTCAGCCTCCTAAGTAGCTGAGACTACAGGCTTGCACCACCATGCCCTGCTAATTTTTTAAATTTTTTTGTAGAGATGGGGTCTCACTATGTTGCCCAGGCTGGTCTTGAACTCCTGGCCTTAAGTAATCACCTCATCTTGGCCTCCCAAAGTTCTGGGCTTACAGATGTGAGTCACTGCACCCAGCCCATATATTGCTTTTATGATAGTAAAAGTAATAGTTTTTTTAATGGATACAGTAGTAGTCCAGCCTCAGAGAGACAAATGCTCTTGAAGGATGGAGCACTTGGCAGGTGCAATCGGAAGTTGATGTGGCCTCCCCTGGCCTCAGAACCCTGCAGTCACCAAATTGAGGTCACGGGGGCTGCAGAGATAATCAGCAGCAGCTACTATGGCCAAGGCTGCTTTCTGGGACTGTCCATGCCATAAGCTTGTGCCCTGGATTTGAGAATTTCTTGTTGTGTTTTTTCTATAGACAGAGGACTATTTGAAACGGAAGATTCGTTCCAGACCTGAGAGATCGGAACTCGTCAGGATGCACATTTTGGAAGGTGTGTGAGATTGGAAATGCTTCTCATCTAAACCCTGTTCTCACCGTGTGCTCACTGCTGCACCACCCACTTCCTTCCTGTCTCCTTCTTGCTTCTCACTCCCACTTCTGTCGGTAGCGGGTGAGCCAGAGTCCTAGCACAATAAGACAACTGTGCTGTGGTGGCCACCACTGGTTTAGAGCAATTCCCAAGAAGCACAGTCACATTCTCTTGGGTTGGCTTGACGTGTTCTCCTGGGTCTCATCATCCTTTGGTGTGAAATCGCTTCTCTCTGCCAGGGCATATCCCTGCTCTCCTCCAAAATCTGCTTTTAAAATGCATTCATTTTCTTTTTTATATTCATTCATTCATTGATTCACTTGGCATTTACTTGAGCACCTGTGACAAACAATGCCCTCTTCGTCTAAGAGCGTCCTAGATGTACCCCACCTGCCCCCAACCACATACATTTTCACATTTTTAGTGAAGGAGAAGTTTTGGTTCCTGGAAGCAGCATATCTACTTTCGGTTTGTTTAGTTTCGAGCCGTCTTTAGGGCTGGAAGGGAATTTTTATTCGGAACCCCACATTTTGCAGATAAAGACACTGAAAGGCAGAACAGAGAGGTGAATTGCCCAGTAACCCAGCAAGTCTGAGGGAAAGCGGAGACTATTGCATCAGGTGGTGCTCCTTCAGCTCTGCAGCTGCACCTCAGAAAGTCCTCTCAGCCCACCCGTGCCCGGGCACAATTGTGTGTGACCATGTGCTGCCCATAGCAGGGGCCCTTCTTTTGTTCTTATGAAACTTCAGACCAGGCCCCTTCTCTGCCCAGGGTGTGCTTTCTATTCTGACAGTCTCTGCTCCTGTCCAGGAGGAAGGAGAGCTGCTCTGGGGTTCCCAGGGCAGAACCAGGTCCACTCATACGTCTTCCTGCACCCCATTCTTTCCCATGGACAGAAACCTCAGCCGAGCCTTCCCTCCAGGCCAAGCAGCTGAAGCTGAAGAGAGCCAGGCTAGCCGACGACCTCAATGAGAAGATTGCACAGAGGCCTGGCCCCATGGAGCTAGTGGAGAAGAACATCCTGCCTGTGGAGTCTAGCCTGAAGGAAGCCATCATTGGTGAGGGGCCCAGCCACCCTGTGTGGGCTGCAGCCAGGATGCAGGAGGGGAGGGAATACCGTGACTACAGCAGGATTGGGCTGGGACTCTTGGCTTCTTGCTCTTAGACTTCCTGCCTAGCCGTGAGAGAACCAAGGCGCAGAGTTTGAGGGCCTGATAAGCAGGTTGTGTTAGCTTGGGACGGTGCCAACTGCCTCAGGGATCAGGGACATACAATAATAAATAACTGAATAAATAACAGAAAGGTCTCTGTTCACTTTCCATCTTTATAAATTCAGGGACTTACTCCTCTTTCACAGTGTAGGTAGATGTCATGATCAATAGTATGAACGCGCAGAGATGCCAGGAATTAGAAATCTGTACCTTACTATTTATTTTTGTTGCTGAAATCTCTTCTTAGTGCCCAGCCTATTCCACAGATATTAATATTTCACTCAACAAATATTGATGGACCCAGGAGGGATGCTAGGATCACAGCCCCACAGAGCAGACCATGTTCCTCCATCCTCATGGAGCTCACGCCTAGGAGCAGATCCAGGCAGGTGAATAGGCAGCAGATGTGCTGGAGGGAGCACAGGATGCTCTAGGCACACAGGAGGGTCTCCCAACCCAGCCTCAGCAGTGGGGAGTGCAGCTTTCAGAGGAGATGACGGGCAGGCCTGGGACTGAAGGATGATTAGGAATTAGCCAAAGTGTGTGCGTGGGTGGGGCGTGAGAGGAGAGGACAGTGCTCCAGGCAGGGAGAGCAGCCTGGGACCTGGTGAGAACGTACTGGAAGGAATAGTGTCAAGACAGTTGGGGAGACGTGAGCAGTCCAGGATGTGCAGGCCTCTGGTGCCATGCTCAGGAGTTCCGACTTGATACCCTTAGTGTAAGGGAATAAAAACCCTGTTTTCTCTTGGCTCTCACACTCAGCGCAGTGCTCCAGCACTTCTGGTATTGGTGTTCTGGCTTGGGATTTTCCTACACACCAAGGAATTCTCTGGTGGACACCTACTGAGCATCCTCTAATTCAGTTCAGTTCTGACACTGTCCACCTGGACATGGTGTCAGATCACACAGGCTAAAGGCTCAGTCCCACAAGACTGCCCCTACTTCAGACACCAGTTGCAAGTGTCAGGTTGTGACCTGCATTTCTGACCAACCAGCTATAAATCAGGGTTCCCACAACTCCTCCTTGGGTTCAATAATTTGCTAGGATGGCTCACAGAACTCAGGGAAACACTTTACTTACATTGACTGGGTTATCATAAAGGATATTACAAAGGATACAGATGAACAGTCAGATGAAGCGATGGGTGGGGTGTGTACCACCCTCCTGTTGCCTCTGTGTGTACAGCAACCCCAAAGCTCATTAAATCTTGTTCATGGGTTTTTACAGAACTTGATCTCCAGGACCCCACATCCCCTGCCCTGCCTTTCCTGCAGGTTGATGGGGGGCGGGGTGCTGAAAGTCCTAGTCCCCTAGTCCTCTAATTGCTTGGTCTTTCTGGTGTCTGGCCCAATCCTTGGACTACCTAGGCCTCCCTCCCACCCAAGTCACCTCATTAGCATAAGCTCAGGTGTTATAGACAGGGGCTTATGAATAACAAAAGATTCTCCTGTCCTTAAGGAAATTCCATGGGTTTTAGTTGCTCTATGATAGGAACTGGGAGAAAAAAAACAAATATATTTCTTATTATACCACACTTAGATTTTGGTGACAGTTGGTACAGACGTATTTTCTTCACTGCAGTAGGCCCAAAACCTGATCCCTGACAAGACTGCACGTGCCTGCCTCCCCCAAGGTAGCTATGCCTTCAGAGAAAGAGGCTCAAGGTTCCCACAGTAACGCATTTTATAATAGCTCTGGGGAGGACAAGAGAGGGGAACCACTGGGGCAGACCCCCAGGCCTTGATCAAGGGAGACTGGTAGTTTCTAGGGCCCCATCTGCATTACAGCCACCCTGCTGGAAGCTGGCACACCCTGGGCCCCGAAGAGCCCTTTCCCCATTTTGGTGTGTAGCCCTTATAATTTCAGTGGCATCCACCCTGCCTCATCTCAGTGTTTTTCTCCCCATATTCTGTTCCTCAGCGGCCCCTAGCTACAGGCCAGCATACAAGCCAAGACATATCTGGACTCTGCAGCCAGCTACAGTCTGGTAAACATTTGCCAAGAGTTGGCAATGTGCCAGGCCCTGTGTGCAGTCCTAAAATCACAAAGATGAATAAAATATGACTCGTGCCCTCAGGGAATTCACCTTGGCCTGATGTGAGAAGACTGATGTATAAACAAGTGATTTCTGAGTCTGGTTCCTGGTCAGATGGCAGTGCTGAGTAGGAAGGCCATGGCTCCGTGACATCGCAGCTGAGTCACCTCCTTGTGGAACTGTTTGTAGGATCACACGCAGTGATGGATTTTAAGGGCCCAGCACAGCCCTCGGTGCCCAGAGGCTCATGTAGTGGTTGCTGCCGTCATCAGCAATAACACTCTTTCCAGACCAAGTGACAACTGCTGTATGGACAGAGTATAACTGGGGGTGTGTGCATCAGTGCAGGGGGAGCTCGGCAGAGGGACTTCTCTCAGGGATGAGGATAAGTGGTGGTGGCCAGGGAGGCACCCACACATGATATAGCACATCTGGGGGCAACCTGGAGGTTGGATCAGTGTTTGCCAAGTGGAGAAGTACAGAGGGACATTCCAGGCAGAGGGAGCAGCATGGCCAGTGGCCTGGTGGAACACAGCTTATTTGAGGAGTCTGGCGCTGACAGTGAGGTGGAGGTTTGGCCCAGATAGGAGGAGAGGGAGACGGAGGGAAGGCAGAGGGCAGCGGGAGGCTGCTGAGAATGGGGCTGGCAGGGGCCTGGAGTCTTCTCCCCACACTCAAGCCCACTTAGATGTGCTCACACGCACACCCCTTTCCTCCAGGCTGCTCATAATTATCTTCCAGATCAAGCCCTCTCCTCCAGGAAGTCTTCCCTGAGTCTCTCCTCCACATACCCTTAGCTCAGTGCTGTGTTTCCCTCCAGCAGAGCATTTACTCTGCTCCAAGGGGGCTGGACGATAAACTCCCAGAGGGCAGGGACCCTGTCAAGGACCATGCTGGGCCCTTTTTATCTGTCACCGGATGTGATCCTGCACACAGTCCCACACGGAGGTGACTCAGCTGCAGCGTCACAGGGCCATGGCCTTCCTGCTCAGCAGCACTGGTATCAGTGGAGTGCTGACCACAGTGGAGAGAGAAACGGACTCTGTCGTGACTCTGGCCTGCACCGACCCTGAATCTTCCCAGTACGGCCAGCAGCTTCCTTGGGTTGGACCAGTCAGGGTGGGAGCTGCAGCTCTCCATCCTGGATCACCATCATCAGTGCCAGCCACCATGTGGCTGCTGTCCCACGGCAGGCACCCGTGCTGGCAGTTAGAGATTGGCATGAAAGATACATGGCCAGCAAGGGCCATGCCTTCTGCGCATTGCATGCTTGCCATTGCATGCTTGCCCCTGTAAGGACAGATGAGAGGACAGAGGAGCAAGCCCAGCCATGGACACTCGCTCCTGGCTCTGTTGCCACAGTTGCCCAGTAAGGGAGGAGCTCAGGAGTGTCCTTCCTGGGTCCCAAGGGAGGAGACAGCCTCAGGTCCTGGCCCTGAAGAGGAAGAGCTGCCGCGAGAGTTACCGCCTGGACAAACCCAGCCTAAGCAGTTGACCTTTGTTCCTCTTGCTTATCTGGGGACTTCCCACACGGCACACCTCCCAGGCTTGGCCGGCAGCTCACCTCTGCCTTTGCCACTGCCTCAGTTCCTCCTGCTCAGAGCCTGCCACACCTGCCTCTTCCTGTGACAGTGCTGAGGTGGTGGTCGTGACTTGATTCTTGAAATGCCTTTGTTGCCTCTGTTCCGGTCTTTCCTTCCCTCTGCAGCCTGGGAGTCCCATGCGGGGACCCCGTAGAGCAGAAGCCCTGGGCTGTGCCCTCCGCCCCTGCCTCTGCCCCCAGCCAGCCCCAGGAAGACACCCTCACACAGCCCTCCTGGGGCTTGGCTGTGGGTCAGGCCAGGGCAGCCATGGGCAGCAGGATGTTTCCTTCTCGTGCCCCTGTTGCCCAGGTATTGGGTCTCTGGGAGTGGCTGGCCCCTAAAGTAGGTCACCACACTTGTGCTGATTCTCTTCCACCTGTGGGGGCCTGCAGCCCTTTCCTGGGATGCCCTCCACCCACAGCCTCACAGCCAGGCTCCTTGGCCTGTTCTGGCCTCTGGAGAAGCCAGCTGCTCTCACGTGGCTGTCACTCAAGCTCCCGAGATCCCTCACCAGCAGATTCAGAGCCCTCATTTCATGGTCTGTAAGCATCAGGGGAAAGAAGAGAGTTTTGTGTAGCCACAGGATGAAGATAAATATCTCTAACAGCAGGGAAACAGATGAAGTGGAAAGGCTGCCTGGGTCTCCCAGGGAGGAGGAGCAGGCTGGAAGAAGAGAGAGAGGAACTTGACTTTGAAGGCTAAACTCAGTATAGAGTTAAAAGGAAGTGGTTAAAAATGAGGCCTTTCCTCAGCCCAAGGGAGCACTCTGATGGTCACAGGGGCCTTTCTGGCCTCTGGTGCAGGGTCATGATGACGACTTTTCCTAGAGTTCTTTTGAAGCAAAAAAGCAGGCTGGCTGCTAGTCTCCCTTGGCCTGTCTACCTCTCGGGGCATGGGGGCTGAGGGCCAGGCACTTTGCTGAGACAGCCTCTGGCCAGTCAGCAAGGCCTTTCTTTCTTCCCTGCTACCTGTGCACTGGGGCTGGAGGTGGAGTCTCATGCTGGCTTTGGGTTTCAGTGGGCCAGGTGAATTATCCGAAAGTAGCGGACAACTCTTCCTTCGATGAGGACAGCAGTGATGCCTTATCCCCTGAGCAGCCTGCCAGCCATGAGTCCCAGGGTTCAGTGCCGTCACCCCTGGAGGCCCGAGTCAGCGAACCACTGCCCAGTGCCACCTCTGTATCCCCCACTCAGGTGAGCTTGCCCACTTCTAGAAGCCTCCCTAAGGTCGCTGGGGCTACCCAGAATAAGATCTGTCTCCCGGGCCACGCAGTGACTCCTCCGCTGGCACAGGGAAGCCAGGGGCACGTTGCCTTAGTAGTGCAGGTTCTGGCTGCCCAAGCTTCCGTGGTTCCCAGTGGGGAGGCAGGAGATGTGGGCAGTGGGCCCGCTCTCCAGCAGCCCCGGGTCCTAGGTAGAGGGTGCTGGCTAAGGCTGCCCTGCAGTTAGATTTGCAAACTTCCCTCACCAAGCCCTGTTTTCATTCATTCAGAGCGGCCTCCCTGGGGTTGCTCCTCTCATCTCTTGATCTCTGCCTTCTGAGGAGGGGCTGCCACCACCTCTTCCTGTGCAGGGCCCCTGGCTCCTAGCAGGGGCAGCTGGGCACACTCCACCTGGAGGTAGTCGGTGTCCTCACTTCCCCTCACCCCTCTCCCCTCTCAGGTTGTTTCTCAACTCCCGATGGGGCCGGATTCCGGAGAAATGCTCTTCCTAGCAGAGCAGCCTCCTCTGCCTCCCCCACCTCTGCTGCCTCCCAGCCTCACCAACGGAACCACGGTCCCCACTGCCAAGCCCACCCCAACACTCATTAAGGTACAGTCCTGCCAGCGATCATGTCCTCTCCTCCCCTGTGCCCCTCGGAGTCCTGCTGTGGCGTCATCCCAGCTGTGAGGACAGCTGCAGGGGTGGGGTGCGTATCTTCTCCTACCATCTGTCGAGACACTGGCTGTCATGCTCATAGCCACTGTTTATTGAGCACAGTGTGCCAGGCCCTAGCCTAACGCTTTGTAGGTGCTCATTCCTGCCCTCATCCACGAAGACATTCCCACACATTACCCTGGACAACCGCCTGAGGCAGCCCTGTGCTACACATGAGGAAACTGAGAAGTAAAGTGACATGCCCAAAGTCAGACAGCTGGCACCATTGGGTGTTTGTTTTTATTCTCTTCTTCCAAGCTTTCCTCAAAGGCCTGACCTGAAGTACCTGAAGGTGGCAGGGGTTGCTGTCATTGGTGTGGGGGACACTGTGCTGTGCACTGCTGGCCTCATGTGCACAAAGGTGTTCGATACTACGTTTAGCAGCACCAAAAGCTAATGCCAGGCCCTCCTCGCCCTGCAGAACCGCCTGGCCTCCGAGATCTCTGGGACCCAAGTCCTGCACTTCCACCTGGCCCACACCTCCACAGCATGCTTCATCCTGTCCTCTCCGCTCTGTCCTATATTCTTCTCTAGGCTTCCTCCCCACAGATCCCGTGCCTGGCTTGGCAACCCATGGCCATCCAGGACCATCTGTGGCTCCTGTCTTCTCTCTGTGAGCCTCAGGAGAGACGGACAGCTCACAGCCTGGGAGCAGTGTGATTCTCGTGCTCTGGCCTTAGCTGAGCCTTCGCTGTGGCTCTGGGGGCTGGCTGCCTGTCCATCTTCTGGAGCTCCCTGGCACTGTCCTATGGTGACATCATCCCCAGTCCCACCTCCGTCTGCACGTGACTGCGTGTCATCTCTGCGGAGGCCATCAGTACCCTGCCCGTGTCAGAAAGTCACTGTGGCTTCTCTGTCACTGTCTCCTCCCCTGAGCCCAGGGGAGCAGGAAGTAGCCTCTCCTAGACCACCTGTGCCCTCGATGTCATCTGTGCACCAGGATGTTGCCTCATTGGTTGGCACGTCTCTTGCGTCTACAACCTCTTCCTCATGTCCTCAGATGTCACAGCTTCCCCAGAATTCCTCCCTCCAATGTGCTGCTTGTCACACTCCTGCTGCCTTCCTTTGACCACCACATGTTTGAAAGAATCACCTGTATGTGTTCTGTCTACACTTCTCTTTTCTGTTTTATGCCTCAGCCTTTGTGGGTTGGCTCCAGTGCCACCAGGGGACTGAAACATGTTCTTCAAGGGTCCCTAATCCAAACCCACCTTCACTGCCTTCCCCTCCTGACAGCATCTGCCTCCTCACCCGGCACCCTGGAGTGCTCCCCACCCAGCTCCCAGGGCTTTCCTCTCTTTGGCCACTGCACTTCCCCTGCTCCCTTTCCTCTTCCTGGGAAGGGGGTGTGCCCTGGGGTCTGCCCTCCTGTTTCGTTCCTCCCTGCGGTTCCTCCATTCCTCAGCCTGTGCTCAGGGTCCTCCCTGCAGCTCAACAGACCTGTCCTTTCTCCACATTTCCTGGCAAGACCAGAACCTCTTCCTGACTTCACGAACCTTAACTCCTCACCTGCCACACGTTCACACTGCCTGTTCTCCCTCATTTTGGCACCCGTTGCTGTCTGGTTGAGACCCCGTCTGACCCCTGCATCATGTCTCTCCTCTGCCTGCCATTCTCTACCCAGAAACTTCCAGACTCTCCACTGTCCCTCTCTGGCACTCCCCTGCTAATTCTTGCCCCTCGTCCAACTCATCCTTCTCTGCCCCAAGGACAGCACCCCCAAAGCATGGCCTACTGGCCCTTCTTGGTTGGTCCGGGTCTTCTGACCCTCCATGTCTAGCAGCTGTACCAGCTGCGAGTCTTTGGGGCACAAGCGGGAGCTTTTGGAGTCCTGGGTTGGATCAAGATCAAAATCATCATATCACCTTGGGCAAGTAACTTCTCTGAACCTGTTTCCTCATTTTTAAGTAGACATGACAGTTCCTGCCTAGGCAGGATTGGTGAGAGGCTTGCGTGGCGCAGTCTGTAAAGTGCCTGGTCTGGCCTGGCCCGGCCCATGCTCCGTCAGCCAGTTGTGTTTTACCTCCTCGTGGTGTTCACACTCTGCTCAGGGTCATGGTGATGTCTGTGCCTGTACATTCAGTTGATTTATTCTCTAGGCTGGAAGCTTGTTTAAGACAGGGCCTGGGCAAAGCCCCTCTCTATTATCCCAGCCCCCTCCCTGGCACACTTCCAGGCACCAGAGGGGCCTCTGCTTTTGGTGGAGAGCACAGTCCAGAGGGGAAGAGTGGAAGTGGGCAAAATGCGTGATGGTGCCTTCTTGGAAGCCATGCAGGTGCGGGGAGGGCTGCTAGCCCCACCCCGGGAAGCCTGAGGCTACCCTCTGATGGCACCGTCTCCTGTGCCCTCAGCAAAGCCAACCCAAGTCTGCCAGTGAGAAGTCACAGCGCAGCAAGAAGGCCAAGGAGCTGAAGCCAAAGGTGAAGAAGCTCAAGTATCACCAGTACATCCCCCCGGACCAAAAGCAGGACAAGGGGGCCCCGCCCATGGACTCCTCCTATGCCAAGATCCTGCAGCAGCAGCAGCTCTTCCTCCAGCTGCAGATCCTCAACCAGCAGCAGCAGCAGCACTACAACTACCAGACCATCCTGCCTGCCCCGCCAAAGTAGGAGCCTTCCCTCCCTGTGCACCGTCCCCTGCCTGCCCGTAGCTGCCCCAAGACAGGCACATGCCAGTCTTAAGAACCCCAGGTCTTAAAAGACTCTTGGGTCTGGATCCTACAGAGTGGTCCCCAGGCAGGACTTCTCTGGCCTGCGTGCAGGGCACTTGCCCATGTCCATCTGTACCCAAACCTGCAGCCCAGGCGGCAACCAAGGCTGATGCTTGATGGGTGCCCATTTCTGCCTTTTCTGCTTTTCAGGTCGGCAGGTGAGGTTCTGGGAAGCAGTGGGGCCCCCACAGTGCGTAGCCTCACCACTACCAATAGCAGCTCCAGCTCGGGCGCCCCTGGGCCCAGTGCATTGGCACGTCAGAACAGCACCTCAATGACTGGCAAGCCAGGAGCCCTGCCGGCCAACCTGGATGACATGAAGGTAGGTGGCTGCCCCCTTCCCACACAAAGATTTGAGCCACTGCCAGTCTGGCCTCTCCCACAGGGGCTGTTTGGGTGCTGGTTTTTAAGCGGGGAAGGCAGCCAGCCCAGGGCCCACCATCATGGAAGGCAGCGCAGGGCTCTGGGCTCTGGTCTCCACCAGACAGGGGCACCTTGGAACCTGCTCCAAGGCCTGCTTGGCTGTGGTCATAGCAACACTGGCCTCATGGTAGTTGCTATCATTAGTGACACAGCCAGTGTCTGTCTAGGGCCATGGGATGGACCAAGCAGTGATCTCTCTCTTACCTTCCCTGACCTCTGTGCTGCAGTGTGAGGAACAGGGATTGGTCCCCCTTGAGAATGAACAAGCTGAGGCTGACAGAAAGAGGAGCTTGCCCAAGGCCACAGACCTGGTCAGTGGTAGACAGCGCCCTCTTTGCACCTGGCCAGTTAATGTCAGCTGAACCTGCTGGTCAGATGCCGTGTCTGCCAAGGAGAGAGTGGCCTGTGCTCAGAGGTGCGGGCTTGGCTTGTGTCCTCAGGCCTTAGTGGACCATGCCCAGTGCCTCACTTGTTTTCTCTGCCTCAGTCAGAAGATGGAATGGACCAAATTCTTCCTCGAGAACTTGTCCTCTGAACCAGGCTGACCCCTCCTGCATCATGATCCAGGTCGCAGCAAGACACAGCACTCATGGAGGCTGCTGGGCACAGGCTTCAGAGTCCATCTGCCCTGGGTTTAAATCCTAGCCCAGCCACTCACTAGCTCTGTGATCTTGAAAAAGTGACTTTACTTTCATGAGCTGTTTTCTCATCTGTAAAATTCGGTCCATTCAATTAAATGTTTAGTGGGCACTAGGCGTTGTGCTGGGGACTGGGGACAGCTGTGAGCACAATGTACCCAGACCCTGTTGCCTGCAGAGGTAGGGGTGCATTTTCACCAGGCCCGTGCTGGAGTGAGGACAGTGAAAGGGAGGATGCAAGGTGGGGATTCCATGAGGGTGGGGGGATCTCGCCCTCCAGGGCTGTTGGAGGAATAGGGGAGTTGATGCATCTAAAGTGGCAAATGGAGCTGGGCACAGTGGCGCACACCAATAATCCCAGCACTTTGGGAGGCTGAGGCAGGAGGATCGCTTGAGGCCAGGAGTTCGAGACCAGCCTGAGCATTGTAGTGAGACCCCTGTCTCTAATAAAAAAAGTGGCCAGTGGAGCCTAGACAGACGAGGCCCAACTTGTAAAATGCTCGTCCTTCCCAGCCTCCCGAGACTGTCCTCCTACCTGGACCCAATTCCTTTTGTCCAGCTGCCCCTGGTCTCCCTGCTGCTCTGACTCTTTAACCCTTGCAGGTGGCAGAACTGAAGCAGGAGCTGAAGTTGCGGTCACTGCCCGTGTCAGGCACCAAGACAGAGCTGATTGAGCGCCTGCGTGCCTACCAAGACCAAATCAGCCCTGCCCCAGGAGGCCCCAAAGCCCCTGCCACCACCTCTATCCTGCCCAAGGCTGGCGAGGTGGTGGTAGCCTTCCCGGCGGCCCGACTGAGCACAGGGCCAGCCCTGGTGGCAGCAGGCCTGGCCCCAACCGAGGTGGTGGTGGCCACGGTGACCAGCAATGGAGTGGTGAAATTTGGCAGCACGGGCTCCACACCTCCCGTGTCTCCCACCCCCTCAGAGCGCTCACTGCTTAGCACGGGTGACGAGAACTCCACCCCTGGGGACACCTTTGGTGAGATGGTGACGTCACCCCTGACACAGCTCACCCTGCAGGCCTCTCCGCTGCAGATCCTTGTGAAAGAGGAGGGCCCCCGGGCTGGGTCCTGCTGCCTGAGCCCGGGGGGGCGGGCGGAGCTGGAGGGTCGCGACAAGGACCAGATGCTGCAGGAGAAGGACAAGCAGATCGAGGAGCTGACCCGCATGCTCCGGCAGAAGCAGCAGCTGGTGGAGCGGCTCAGGCTGCAGCTAGAGCAGGAGAAGCGGGCCCAGCAGCCTGCCTCCGCCCCCACCCCGGCCCCTCTCTGCGCCCCAGTGAAGCAGGAGAACAGCTTCTCCAGCTGCCAGCTGAGCAGACAGCCCCTGGGCCCTGCTCACCCCTTCAGCCCCAGCCTGGCGGCCTCCACCACCAACCACATAGACACTTGTGCGCCGGTCCCCGGGCCCCCGGCCGTGGTGGTGAAACAGGAAGCTGTGCTGCCCGAGCCCGAGCCAGCCCCTGCCCCCCAGCTTCTGCTGAGCTCACAGGGCCCCAGCCTCATCACGGGGGTCACACCTCCCACCCTCATCACTGACTCTACAGGGACCCACCTTGTCCTCGCTGTGACCAATAAGAATGCAGACAGCCCTGGCCTGTCCAGTGGGAGCCCCCAGCAGGTACTTGGGCTGCAGGGCGGGGAGCAGGGCAGGGCCCAGAGGGTGGGAAGATCCTTCTCATGGCCCTTCATGTGCACCAGGCATCCTCGCATGCTGGGTATTTTATGTTTGCTTCATTTAATCTTCCCTTTAACCCTCCGAACTGAGAGATCACCACCCCATCTCACCAAGAGGGCTACTGAGACTTAGGAAAGTTAAAGACTTTGCCTAAGACCCCTCTGGCCAGGAGGGTGGAGCCGTCAGGGAGCTGCCCACTTCTCTGGCCATTGATACCAGAATGTTCCTGCACCCTAGCAGCAGGGCCCCTGAGCAGCCCCCAGCCAGGCTGGGAGCCTCCCACAGCACTGCTCCATGGGGTGGGGAGGGCACAGGTGACAGCCAGAGAGGTGCCCTGCCCTGGGGAGAGGCTGTGGGATTGGCTGTCTGGCCCAGGATCCAGCTCAGGGTCCTCCCTTCAGAGGGCAGTTATACGGCACCAAGGCGTCAGCAACAGCTGGCTCCCTCACAGCCAAGACCAGGGGTGAGGCTGCTCTTAGGCTGTATATAGCCTCAGCCCTGCAGAGTGTGGAGCTGGAGAGGACAGTGACAAGAACCAGATATCTCAGGATGGGAGGCAGAAATCTCAAGGAGTGATCAGCACAGAGCTCCCCTCTCTCCTCAAACCCCAGGCATTCAGTCACCCCCTTAAGGATTAGGGGGTCAGGGCCCCCCATCCTATGTCCTTTCTTTCCCAGTGGCTTCCATTAAGAGCTCCCTGAAAGCTGGTGCAGCTAGCAAAGCTGGCCTGGCCAAGAAGGCAGCACCTCCTGCCTTGCCTTCCTGGGGTGTAAGGGTGCCTGGGTCCTGTGTCCCCTGCCCCTGCCAAGGCAGGTGTGCAGCCACCGATCCTCTCCCTGTTCTGTCCAGCCCTCATCCCAGCCTGGCTCTCCAGCCTCCGGCCCACCCACCCAGATGGACCTGGAGCACCCGCTGCGGCCCCTCTTTGGGACCCCCACTTCTCTGCTGAAGAAGGAGCCACCTGGCTATGAGGAAGCCGTGAACCAGCAGCCCAAACAGCAGGTGAGGAAGGTGGCCTGGGCGTGGCCAGGGTGGGTGGCTGCCCTAGGCTGTCAGGCTGTGGCTCCCTCGGTCCCACCTCATTGGGGTCAAAGAGACCTTGGGGAGCGGGCCATTAGGGGCCAGGGCATGAGAGCCTGGCCTGATGGAGTGAGTCTGGGCTTTGGGAGTCTGAGCACAGCCCATGGGCACAGTGGGTCCAGCTGCCCACTCTGCAGTGGAGGGAGAGGTCTTGGTCTGAGGCCAGGCTGGGGCCTCCCGTTCATGATTTTCATCTTGTTTCTCTTTTTGTGCCACAGGAAAATGGCTCCTCAAGCCAGCAGATGGACGACCTGTTTGACATTCTTATTCAGAGTGGAGGTAACCCGAGCCCCGCTGCCTTCCTAACCACCTTCTCTGTTCATAGGTCTCTTGAGCCCTAGGTTGGTTAATTTGTTTTTGTTTATTTCTTGAACTTCAGCGAGTGAGAGGCCTTGTCAGCCACTGTGCATACAGCAGTGACAGAGCAGCCCCTGTCTCCAAGGCCTGGGGAGAGGGAGGACATGCCGTGAGGCCTCCATTGCTCTGGGCTGCTTACCCTCGGAGAACTCTCTGTCACAGAGCTCCCTGTCTAGCTGGGGAGGTAGACAGCAAAAAAATGAGTGAATTATATGCCGTGTCAGAAGGCAGAAGCATTAGGAAAAAATTGCAGGGGAGGCAGAACGGTGTTGGGAGCTCAAGGGGAGGCCTTGCTGAGAAGGAGGCGAGGTGGGTAGCCATGCGCGGTGTCCCTGGGGAAGGCCACCAGTGCAGGCCTCAGGAAAGTGAGTGTTCTAGGACCAGAGAGTGAGGGAAGAGGGAGGAGGGGAACAAGGCAGAGGTCAAGAGTGGATCATGTGGGACCTCCTGGGTACCAGGACAGGGGACTTTGGCTCAATAGCTGGGAAGCCGTCCCACAGCTTTGAGCAGAGTGGCCTGGTCTGCTCAAGGGCAGAAGCCCGGAGCCTGGCGGGGCAGCGGTGAGGTGGGAGGAGGGCTGGAGTCTGGGCGTGAGAGCCAGTTTGATGGATTAGATGTGGGGGGAGAGGGGGAGCAGCCAGGGATGACTCTAAGGGCCACGGCCTGAGGTCCCAGTCAAGCTGGGGGCAGGGCTTGTGTGGAGACACGGTGGCACAGCCTCAGATGCGTTCACGCACGTCAGGAGTCATTGGAGTGAAGGATTCATGAGTCAGTGACGTTTGGGAGAGAGGTCTGGGCTGGGGAGTTGTCGCGTCTAGGTTGGCAGTTGGAGCTGCGAGGGCATCCAGGGCATGGGTGGAGGAGCAAAGGACAGGAGGGGGACATGCAGGTACAGCTGAGTAGTGGGCACAGCGTGATGTCCTGGAAGCCAAGGACAGTCACAGCAGTGAGTGACAAGTTAGGGGAGCGAGCGTGTGGCGGTTGCCGCAGAAGGCTGCCTGTGTGGAGCTCTCTGGAAGGTTTCCCTGTACAGGGGAGCAAGGAAACAGGCCGGTGCTGGGTGGGAGACGGCAGCATGTCTGCGGAGGAGATGCCTCAGCAGGGGAGGTGGTGGCGGCTCCCAGAGGAGCATGGAGACTTCACTGGTGGCACCAGGAGCGTGTGGTGCAGGTGCTGGCCGTTCCCTTCCGAGTGCTTCAACTGCTGAAGTAGGAAGAGGAGTGAATGAGTCGGTGTGGGCAAGGCAAGAGCTCAGGCACGGAACTCCATGCTTTAAAATGGTGCCTTTGATGTTACATGAATCTTATTTCAATTAAGAGCTCATTCTTAGCTTGCTGGGCTGTAAAAAAAAAAAATAAAATAAGGGTTCAATAGATGAGGTCAATCCCTGAGGTCAGGGATTCTCAAGCTTTAGGGAGAGGGGCCTGGGGTGCGTCTCTAACTGGTGCAGGTGGCACTGAGGCTGCAGGCGTGGGACCCGCTCTGAGGACCGCTGGCCTGGAGCTCAGGACAAGCCTGGGAATGAGCTTTGGGAGGTTCCAGGGTCCAAACAGACAAACTGTGGGAAGGATGCGGCCACCCTAGAGAAGAGAGATTGATTGAGAAGGGAAAGGGAGCAGGCCTTGAACGCTAGCATTTATGGGATGGCAGAGAAAGGGAGATGGGGATGCTGCCTGCCCCCAAAGGGATGCTGAGAAGTGGCTAGAGAGGTGGCGGGGATGCCCAGAGAAGCGGGTGTGTTTTTTTTGTTTTTAGCTCTCACGTCCCTTCAGTTCGAACAGAAGCGGGGTTTGAATGGGGCAGGTGGTGGCGGCTGGACATGCCGGCACTGCTCCTCCCTGCTGAGAGCAGTCACAGGGAAGGAATGCATGTGTTCAGCTGGGACTGGAGGGGGCAGGACACAGGGGTCAGGGAGCCAGCCTGACTTGTGTGTAATTCTTTGTGCGCGCGCGGGTGTGTGTGGTGGAACATACGTAACGAAATCTGCCATTCTAACCATTTTCAATGTACAGTTCAGTGTGGTTAAGTACATTCACCAGCACCACTATCCGTTTCTAAACTTCTGCATCATCCCAAACTGAAACTCTGTACGCCTTCGACAGTGACTCCCATCCCCGCTCCCCGCAGCCCCTGGCAACCCCGTTCTACTCTCTGTGAATTTGACTACTCTGGGGACCTGATAAAGGAGGAATCACGTTATACAATATTGATCTTTCGGGGACTGGCTTTTTCACTTAGCATGATGTCTTCAGAGTTCATCCGCACTGTAGCATGTGTCAGAATCTCATTCTTCTTTATGGCTGAATAATGTTCCGCCGCCTGGATGTACCATGTTTTGTTTGTACATTCACCTGTCGATGGATACCTGGGTTTTCTGCTTTTTAGCTATTGAGCATAATGCCGTGAACATTGGTGTGCAAGTGTCTGAGTCCTGCTTCCCGTTCTTTTGAGCATATACCTAGGACTGGAATTGCATGATCGTGTGGCAGTTCTGTGGTTAACTTTTTAAAGGAATCACCAAACTGTTTCCACTTCAGCTGTAGCATTTTACATTGCAGTGGTCGAGGGTTCCAATTTCTCCACATCCTCACCGACACTTTCTTTCAATTTTACGATAATAGCCATCCTGATGGGTGTGAAGGGATACCTTGTTGTGGTTTGCATTTCTGTAGTGACCAGTCATGGTGAGCATCTTTTCTTGTGCTCATTGGCCATTTGTGTATCTTCTGTTGGAGAAATGTCTGAGTTCTTTGCTCATTTTTTTTCCAATTTTTTAATTGTAAAATACACATAAGATTTACCATCTTAACCATTTTTAAGTGTATAGTCCAGCGATATTAAATACATGCGTAATGTTGTGCAGCCATCCCTACACCTAGCTCTAATTCTTTTCCTCCTGTAAAACTGCAACTCCATGCCCATTAAACAGTAACCCCCCTCTCCCCTTCCCCCAGCCCCTGGTAATCTCCGTTTTACTTTCTGTCTCTATGACTTCGACTACTCTCAGCATCTCATACAAGTGCAGTCATAAAGTATTTGTCTTTTTGTGACTGGCTTATTTTACTTTGCGTAATATCCTCAAGGCCCATCCATTTGTCCATCAGCGGACGCTTAGGCTGCTACCACGGTCCCCTGTTGTGAGTGACGCTGCTGTGAACACGGTGCACACGGCTTGCTGAGACTCCGCCTTCAGTCCTTTTGGGTACATACCCAGAAGTGGGATTGCGGGATCAGAAGGTAGTTAGTTCTGTTTTTAATTTTTTGGGGAACCTTGGTACTGTTCTCCACAGCAGCTGGACCATTTTCTGTTTCCACCAACAGGGCACAGGGGTTCCAATTTCTCCATATCCTCTTATTTTCTGTTTTCTACTTTTTATAGTAGCTACTCCAGTGGGTTTGAGAGGGGGTATTTCGTTGTTTGATTTGCGTTTTCCTCACGATTAGGAATGTTGAGCATCTTTTCATGTGCTATTGGCCATTTGTGTATCTTCTTTGGGGAAAATGTGTATTCAAGTCCTTTGACCATTTTTTAGTTGGGTGGTTTTATTGCATATTAGGAATTCTGTATGTATTCTGGATCTTAATCCTTTATCAAATACAATTTGCAGATATTTTCTCCCATTCTGTGGGTTTTCATCCTCTTGATAGTGCCCTTTGATGCACAAAAGTTTTAAATTTTGAGATAGCCCAATTTGTCTTCCTGTCCTTCTGGTGTCATCACCAGGAAATCATTGCCAAATCCAACGTCATCAAGATTTTCCCTTATGTTTTCTTCTAAGAGTTTTATAGTTTTAGCTCTTACATTTAAGTCTTTGATCCATTTTATTTTGTATGTGGTGTGAGGTTAGGGTCTACCTTGACTCTTTTGTATGTAGATATTTCAGGCCTGGTTTCTAACATCCATTCACTGTCTTGATTGGCAGAAATTTCAGCAGATTTCAAGGAGCCACCATCCCTACCAGGGAAGGAGAAGCCACCCTTGACAGCAGCCTGTGGGTCCCCACTGGCCACACAGCCCTCACCCTCAGCCGAGGTCCCCCAGGCTGCCCCGCCTCCGCCAGGCTCGCCCTCCCTCCCTGGGCGCCTGGAGGACTTCCTGGAGAGCAGCACGGGGCTGCCTCTGCTGACCAGTGGGCACGAAGGGCCAGAGCCCCTTTCTCTCATCGATGACCTCCACAGCCAGATGCTGAGCAGCTCTGCCATCCTGGACCACCCCCCATCACCCATGGACACCTCGGAATTGCACTTTGTCCCTGAGCCTAGCAGCAGCATGGGCCTGGACCTGGCTGATGGCCACCTGGACAACATGGACTGGCTGGAGCTGTCGTCAGGCGGCCCTGTGCTGAGCCTGGCCCCCCTCAGTACCACAGCCCCCAGCCTCTTCTCTACAGACTTCCTCGATGGCCATGATTTGCAGCTACACTGGGATTCCTGCTTGTAGTTCTCGGCTCCAGAGACTGGGGGTGGCGGAGGGGATGGAAGTTGGGGAGCTGTGGAACTTCAGCGAGCGTGGCTCCTGCTTGATTCAGCCTCTCCACGTGGTTGTCTTGACAATCACAGTCCCTGCTTTTTTTCCTTCGCTGGGAGGCTGGAGCAGAGGGGCCCCTCCTCCTGGTTCAGGCTCACCCAGGGCAGAGGAAGAGTAGCTGTCAAGCAGCAACCCTGGGTCCCATGCTGGGGTTTGGAGGCCTGGATGGGGTCGGGCCATTTCTGTTTGACCTCCTTTTTTGAGGTCAGAGGTGCACCGTCTGGCTGCAGTTTGGCTAAGGTAGGTGAGGCCCAGCCAACAGGCTGCTCTTCTGGCTCTGAGGTGAGTTGAGGGAGGAATCTCCTTCCTGTCTCTTCCCCTTCGCTGTGAGGGAGGAAACTAGCCTGGGCCTCTACCTCCCCATTCCCCATGTCTGCCAACCCCAGGCTCCCGGCCATTTTAGCATCTTGGTATAGTGTAACCATTTAGTGGTTGGTGGCAAAAGTTTTCTGTACAGGTGTATATATCTCTATATTATATATTGATATACATATATACATATATTCTGGGGGGACAGGAGGTGGGTGCAGCTCCCAGGTAGTAGATACGGGGTCACCCTTGAGCTGTGTGCCACATGGTTTAGTGCCCTACCTGGTATGCGGCTGCCCAGGCCCACCCATCACGTGTGTGACATGCAGAAACCCTGCCACGGCCTGTGCCCCACCTGCCCTGCTTCCTGGCTCCTTATCAGTGCCACTGGGGCAGAGGTGCTTCCTGGCTATGCTGCCAGGAGCTCTCCACCCACATTCCGTCCCCCTCGCCTCACTGCAGCCAACGCGGCCCTGGGACAGGAGGGGCTTCAGGCCGGCTCCCTGCTGCTGTGGGCCTGAGAGGTGGCCATGAAGCTGTGGCCTCTCATTTTCCCTGATTCATAGGGGAGTAGGGATGGAGTCACCAAAACCAGTGCTGGGACAAAGGTGGGGAAGCTGTGTGAACTTTTTAAAATAAAAACCCAAACACCGGCTTGTTAGTCCATCTCATTCAATCCATGGAATGGGTGGGCAGTGCGCCTGATCCCCCTCCCCATCAGGCTGACTTGGGGAGTGTTCAGCACAGGCTGCCTACCTGTACAGGAAAAAGCAGCCAGGCTGCGCCTTCCAGACCACTCCAGGAAGGGCAGAACCTCGGACACCTCTGTGGCTCTGGCTGGACAGAAGACAGGAGGCAGTTTCTCAAAGACATAGTTTATTTACAAACCAAAGAGGCCAAGGAGCCTTTACCTGCCATTAGCCACCCCACACCTGCCTTCCTGAGCAAAGACTGACACGAAGGTGCAGCTCTCCACCTCCTCACAAGGTTTTTGGTCGGTACAAACTGTAGTTGGGGCCTGGGGCTTCACCAAGGACTCTGGTGAGGCAGAGCCCCACCTCCCAGGCGCTCAGGAGGAAGCGGCTGAGCTGGGCACCCACCTTCCGTTCCTGCCACCAGCAGTGGCTCTGGGGAGAGCCTGATGTTCCCGCCAGTCACAGGGCTCTAGAGAGCATCTTCCCCAGACCCCACAGCTTGAGGTGGGCCTGGGCCACCTCAGACCCGGCCCCGGAGCAGGCCTGAGGCTGGCCGTGAGGGTTGCTTTGGTAGTCAGGGGGTTGGGGGAGGCCTGGGTGTGACAGGGCAGCTGAAGGAAGAGCATCACCCATCTATGTCCCAGCTGAAAAGGTGGTGCTTCACCAGCATGTCCTGGACGCCCTCCTTCAGAGGCTGCTTCTCCTCCTGCACACAGGGACAGCCCGTCACCTCACAGGCCTGGGGCCAGAGCAGTTCTTACAGCTGATGCCAGCACTCTGGTTCCTCACCCGGGCCCCACCTCAGCCACCCGAGAAACCGTAGGGGAGCTCCGCCAGCACCGCCCTCGGGAAGGCAGACTCAGGGCCTCGGAGCAGCCCACAGCACCCACCTCTCTCTTCGCAGGGAGCTCCCAGTCCTGGGAGAGGCTGAAGGCAAAGCAGCAAAGGACGCTGGAGGTGAGGGGGTGGGGTGAGGCTCTCGTCACCTTCGGTGGGCCCTGCCACCCACCCCTGCCTCCATCCCCCAACCCCTGGGCCCTACAGAGCTGGCCACGCCCCACCCGCATGGTCCTCACCGGAGCTCGCACTTGATCTGGACCCAGCCAGGGCTGCGCAGGAAGGACCAGGGCTGGTACCACTTCTCCACGGTCGGCAGGCTGGAGCAGAGCACCTCCAGCCACAGGTGCAGCACCTGCTCACTGGGGACAAGGCCAGGAGGAGCGGGGGCTCCTCTCGGCCCTTCTGGCTGTGGCCCGCAGTGGATGCTCCAACCTGCCCTTCTCAGCAGCTCCCAGACCGCCCTCCGTGGGGAAGGCAAGGCCTTGAGCAAGACCAAAGTCCCCGAGATTCCTTCTCTGTCCTTCAGGCTCCCCTTAGAGGACCCCCTCCCATGCTGGGCTGGGCCACCCCTACTCCGCGGCTCCTCCTGTCCCTCTGCCATCCCCTTTCCTACACTTACTTGAGCCCCACACAGATCAGTGAGCGGAGCTTGACGTCCATTTGTGCGTGTGCTGCGTCGTGGGTCACGTTCACAGACTGCACAGCCTGGGGGGCACAGCTGTCACTCAGGCACCCCCACTGACCAACCTGGGAGAGGTGTCTAGGGTCTGGCTGAGCAGGCCCTGCTTACCCGGTACAGCAGCTCCTCCGGGGTCAGGACTTTGCCATCTTCATCCAACCTGAGAAGGGACCAAAGCTCCCTGGTGTGCCAGGTGGGCACAGGCTCAGGCCCCCCCTTCACTGCCCGCAGCAGGCAACCCTGCCAGGAGGATGCGGGGCGGGGCCCAGTTACCTGTACGTCTTACAGAGCACCAGGCGGGAATACACGGAGTCGAAGTCTCTCTCGACCTCCCGGCCGGCCGCCTGTCAGGGATGGCACACGGTGCGGGTGTAGGACAGGAAGGGGCAACGGAGCACACGTCACTCCCCTGCACTGCTTCCGCACCTCCACAGGGCCCACGGCAGGAAGGGCCTAAGACGGGCACTGTGGGGAGGCAGAGCTGGTGCAGGGGACAGGAGTCCGGCCCGACTTACCTCCTCGATAAACAGCCAGGGATGGCAGGCACCCCCGAGCAGAGACGGCTTCTTCAGTCCATGTTCAAACAGGGCCTTCAGGGCCGGGCAAAGAGTCCCTCGCACGAGGTCCGTGACCCCCTCTGTCACCGAGTCGTCCCCCGCGATGGAGTACTGATGGGGGGAATGGGTCTGAGAAGCCCCTGCCCAACGCTGCCTGCAGCCAGCCAACCACCGCCACTGCCACAAGCCCGGACGCGCTCGGGCACAGGCCCTGGCCAGGAGGGTGCCGGCCCTGTCCTGCCCCCTCACCTCTTTGCTCCGTTCATCCAGGACCTCCACGAACTTGGCTGGAAACCAGCCTGCGGGAGAAGCAAGCCCTGTGAGCAGCAGCCCAGTGCGCTCCAACCCCTGCTCTCGGGGCTTAGGACAGAGCAGGCGCAGCCCGCGCACGGGCAGGAGGCGATGGCAGGAAGGTGGCGAGGGTGCCCGAGTCTTCACTGCCCATCCCTCCTCCCACCCGCACTCCACAGCAGACGAAGGCCCTCACCTCGCAGGCCGTTCAGCTCCCCCACCCAGCAGTGCTCGTCCTTCTGAGAAATTATCTGCACAGGAGGGAAAACAGCAGGAACCAGAGCTGGGTGCCCGGGGCCAGTGCCTCGCACACAACTCGTCTGATTTTGTGCTTCGCAACTCGGCCCTGCCGAAAACCCCGTTTTCCGAAGCAAGAGCCCTTGGCAAGGAGAGGAAACCTCCCACGCACCGTGATGATGTCGTTCTTGCGGAAGCCCAGCTCGTCATCGTCATGACGCTCGAAGTCCAGTAGGGCCTTGGCTCGACGCCGGTGGCTCCGTGAACACGCTACATAGTTCTCGTGGTCCCGCTGGTGGCTCTCCATGCTGTAGTCAGGGGTCAGCTCCTGCCAGAGTGGACAGAGGTGGTATGGACAGAAAGGCCACCGAGGGGGAGAAGCCTCAGCACCATGAATGGGGCTGGGCAGGGAGGGCCGGTCCGTTCCCCAGGAGAGCCTGGGAGTGCCGACTCACCACACTGCAGTTTTTGGGGTCTGTGCACTGGAAGTGGCGTGCCACGCGGAGGATAGCTTCCCGGAGGTCGGCCACCAGTTCTGTCTGCTTGATGTTCTTGGCCTTAAGTGCCTCCAGGTCATCTTCCCCTAGGAGGCCCAGAGAGTGATGGTGACCACAGCCCTTCCCAGGCCCCCTGAGGAGAGGAAGCCCCAAGTCCACACTAGGTATGGGGACAGACGGCCCCGTCTGCACTGCCTGCCCGCTCAGTGCCCACAGCAGAGTTCTCACCGAACAGCAGGGCGGTGATGGCGGATTTCCTCCGCTGGGTCCTGCGGCGAACAACCTACAGGGAGGGAGAGCAGGTTGGCAATGGCCCCCTGGCACCCCCACCCGGGAGGGAGCGAACCCACCAGCCTTTCTCTCACATGCTCTCCTCTGAAACAGCCTCTGAGGCCGGCTGTGGGCATCGGGAAAGCAAGTCAGCCGTGCCAGGGGCAGAGCCCCTAGACGCGCGAGGAGGGCCAGGTGGCCCCACCGCTGTGGTCTGACTGGGCCACGCCAGCCTCAAGTGCTGGGCTCAGGGGCAGAACAGCAGGGCAGCAAGGGCCAGTCTGTTCCCTGCGGCCCTCTCCCTTTGGGCCTCCTCAGGGTACACTCCCCGCAACTGTGGGCTGAGGTGGGGTCTCCCGCTCCTGCTCCACCTGAGAGAGGTTGGTGGTGGTGCTGGCCCCCAGGAGCTGGCCCTGGTCTGCAATGAGGTAGGCCAGGTGCTTGCGGCGCTGGGTCTCCACAGCCACGTCGGTGAGGGAGCCAGCCAGCCGCATGGCCACCCCCAGCAGCAGCTCCGCATCCTCAATCTGCGATGGGATATCTGACAGCGTGTTGAAGATGGAGGCCGAGTTCTCCGACTGGATCAGCTCCTCCTCCTGGGCCATGCCAGGGCAGGACGGGGGGGAGGCTGTCACTGCCAGGCATCCCCCATCTTCAGAGACCTGTGCCCTCTTGGCGTGGCCATCAGGGGCTGGTCCTGCCTGGTTCACCAGCTCCCCCATCCACCCCACATGGGCTCCTGTTCCTCAGCCTGAAAGCTGGGTGGCATGGCGGTGGTGGGGACAGCAGGGGCCCAGCAAGCACCTTGAGGCACAGCATGCCCAGAGTGATCCGGAACAGCACCAGGGAGCCCTCGTAGAAGAACAAGTCCCAGATGCGCAGCAGCAGCTTGATGTGCACCACACTGGCGAAGGCAGTGAGGAACCAGTGCAGCGTGATCAGGGACAGCTCTGTGAACAGACACCAGCCACTGTGGCTGGGACCAGGGACAGCCTGGCCACAGGGCAGCCTGGGGAGGAGCTGGAGGACACGTCCCGGAGAGTGGCAAGAGGCCTTGCCTGCTCAAAGCGGAGAGAGAGCAAGAGAGCAACAAAGACTGCGGTGCCTGCGTCCGCAGCCTGGCCGTCAGCCTCTGCCAGGTGTGTCCCAAGGCCTCAGGGCTGCAGAATCAGCCAGCGTCTCAGGACCCCTGGGTGGCTGCCAGGCCTTACCGATGTCGTGCTCCTGGAGCAGCTTGTCCAAGCGAGGCAGGTACTGGACGATGAGGTGGCGCAGGACCCGCTGGTCAGTCTGGACGCCCAGCAGGGTGGTGCTGAAGTAGGAGGCAGGGAGCAGGTCCTCAATGATGGCACACATCATCCAGAAGGCGTCCTCCTCCTCCAGGAACAGCAGAAGGCAGGCGGCCACCTGGCCAGGACAGGGGAACAAAGGGCCTCTACCTATGTCTCCATGCCAACCAGAAAAGCCTCTGTGGGGACGCACTGTAGAAAGCACACCTTCCTCAGCGGGCCTCAGTTTCCTGCCCCCCGGGGGCCCATTCTGCTTGAACGACATACACACCTGCCCTGCCCTCCCTGGGGACTCCCACGTCCACC